TGTCTGTCTGTCTGTCTGTCTGTCTGCATGCCTGTCTGCCTGCCTGCCTGTCTGTCTGTCTGCATGTCTGCATGTCTGTCTGTCTGTCTGTCTGTCTGTCTGTCTGCCTGTCTGTCTGTCTGTCTGTCTGTCTGTCTGTCTGTCTGTCTGCCTGCCTGTCTGTCTGTCTGTCTGTCTGTCTGTCTGTCTGTTTACGAAAGTATCTATAATCAGATTACTAGTTTTTCAAATATAACGCGAGCTGAATACAGTTACTTGATTTTTGTATTCTGATTACGTAACGCCGTTACATGTATTCCGTTACAACCCAACCCTGTGTGTACGCTAGTATCAACAGGCCACTACATGTGAAAGAGGGGTATTGCTGCAGTAAAGAAAAACCCTGTGAGATTAAACAGATTATAGTGACACAATCACTTCTTCATTCTGCTTGACTTTTTCTCTCTTTTTTTTTTAACTCAAAGCAATATTTCAGTTCGGTTTGCTACTTTAAGACTAATAAGTAACTTGTATTGTAGAGGAGATATTATGCTCATTTTCAGGTTCATATTAGTATTTTGTGACATTTACATGCTTTAAGTACAAAAAGGGCTTTAGTTTTCTCATCCCGCCTGCCCGATGGAATTAGTACTTTGTGTTTGTTTCCCTGCCTCAGCCTCCTCAGGCGTTTTCAGAGCTGATGGGGGAACCAGGACGTCCCATATGGCCTCTGTGGGAGCTGCTGAAATGGATGGTGGGAAAATCAGAGCATACCATGGCTGCTATCGGTAAGAGGGGTACAAAAACATTGATTATTATCATTTATTTTGTCTGGTATTAATCAGCATTAATCCCGTTTTTAGGCCTGGCCCTGATTGAGATGACGCACTCCAAACCGTCGCCCTTCATCCTCCAGCAGAAGGAGAAGCTGCAGAAGAAGGTGGACGAGCTGCTGGGCGCTGACGGGGTCTTCCTGTACCCGACGCACCCCAGGGTGGCCCCCAAACACCACCACCCTCTCTTCAGACCCTTCGACTTCGCCTACACAGGTCAGTCCTCGTCATACTTTTGACATTCCCGCCTCGAGTTTTAGTATCAAGTCATTTTATACAAACATTTTTTCAATAAAAAGGCTTACTTTTCTCCAATCTGCAATGACATTAGTTTTGACCACATTTAAATTCCCTGCTAATTTACTGTGTTGACTTGAACAAGGCTTCCCTGATTATAAGGCCATTTTAAAAAAAAGATGTTCCTGCAGATTAATAATAAGAAATGACACAAAAGACCAGCATAATCGAATTGTTGGGAACTCAATTGGGGCATTGTCAACATCTCTACAATTCAGAGACTATTATAATAAAGGCTTCTAAATCCATCAGAAAGCTTGACAAACACAAAACGTCATATTTGGGTTCCAGGATAACTGCCGTCCTGTAAAGTGTGCTGCTATGGACAGTCCTGCACTGATGTACATTTCTCAGTGACTGTTTTGTATATTGATTGTTGTGCTTGTCTTTGTGTGAATATGTATAAATTAGGGCTGTCAAACGATTACAATTTTTAATCAGATTAATCACAGCTTAAAAATTAATTAATCATGATTAATCACCATTCGAACTATGTCCAAAATATGCCATTTATTTATGTATATTGTTGTGGGAATGGAAAGATAAATGAAAGAAGGCGGATATATCCATTTAACATACAGTATCTATGTTATAGTATTATTATTATATCGATCATCAAACCGTGGGGTCTTAATTCATTACGTGTTGATTTCTATCAACGGGGGAGTACTTCAGGAAAGTCGACAGAGGGGGGGGGGGGCGGCGGCGGCTAGTGGAGTACTTCGTGACCACAGAGTGTGAACGTTGTGATCAGCTGTTTTAGCGCAGTTCTCCAGTGAAGGGGGGAAGTCTCCCTCCGCAGCCGATTGGCGTAGGTTTGGCACAATTCCGTTGTACAGACCGACGTTAACAGCAGCCCTGTCTGTGCACACGGAGACCGACTCTGTCGTCCGGTGATCTAACCGCCTTCTGGAAAAGCTTCACAAGTACGTTGGTACGCAAATGCGCTTTGTGACACAAGTGACGGTACGCATTTCAGATACTTACATAACCTGCGTACCAGTTATGTGTTACCTGTACTACAGCAAAAGTATTCTCCGTCGGGACTTCCTGCAACAACACCACGCCGTTATCTTGATTCTGATTGGCCAGAAGACATTATCAAAGATGTTCTATTGAGAAGTCGATCACTACGTGACAACAGTTTTCAAAACCGTGGCTACGGAAATCAATCTTACTAACTGCTGTCTGTGCAATTTACTCCGCGAGTTGGCAGACTTTATTTTGCTTACTTTAACATCATTTTTCATGGTGGGGCTAAGCCATTTCTTGCTATGGGTGTAGCCTACCCCAGCCATACCCTGGCGCTGCCACTGGTGGCATGTATGGGGCGGGCCATTCTGCACATGCGTTAAATATTTTAACGCAATTAATTCAAAACATTAATTACCGCCGTTAACGCGATAATTTTGACAGCACTAGTATAAATGTGTCTGATTGTGTATATATATATATATATATATATATATATATATATATATATATATATATATATATATGGGATTGTGGGAAATGGTATTTCGATCTCTCTGTCTACACACTAACTGAAAGATTGACGATAAAGTTGACTTTGAAGTTGTGAAAGAAAAACATGAAACATTTTCTCCCCCTCCTCCCCCCCTACCTGCAGGTATAATCAACATCCTGGGTCTGCCAGTCACTCAGTGCCCCCTGGGTCTGAACGAGGAGGGTCTTCCCCTGGGGCTGCAGGTGGTCGCTGGGAAGCTGCAGGACCACCTGACCCTCGAGGTGGCTCTCTTCCTGGAGAAAACGTTCGGAGGCTGGAGGGACCCTGGGGCCAAATAAAAACACACACACAACCAAATCTCCAGACTGAAGATTGTGGGACTTATCTGCCTTGCTGCTTGCTGTAGTTCACAAAGGGGTACAATCAGATCACTGGATGTTGAAGTGACGAGATTTTTTGCACTACTGAGTTGTACCAATAAATGTCAAGTCATACTTTTATAATTTACTCAGTTCAAATCATGAGCACAAGCTTTAAAAAAGATAGATTTTCACGTGTGAGAGTGTTCATATCAATACACAAAACAAGGCTCTGTGCTGTTGGTGAATGGGTCTCCAATATGTTTAACAACAATGCAGTGTAGATACCTACCTCTTATAGAACATGGACAGTTCATTTTCCCACGTTTTTGTGTGTGTCTGTACAGTTACACATACAAAGCGAACATTCAAGGCTTAATTCTACATTTTGGATCGATAGAAAACAACCTTTCTTAGGAGGTGAGATTATGACCAGGAATACTTCGATTGCAAAAAAACAGCATTGAGTTTGTCACCGTTATAATTGTCTATGCATTAGAGTTGTCATGACGTTTTCCATCATAGTCATGGAAAAGTGATAATAGACTATTTGACCACAGCCATGCTCTCACACCTGTGTAGATGTAGGGATACATAAAACCGATTAGGAATGATAAAACCACTAAGTATGGTGACATTGTTTGAATACACTGACAAAATCTTAGTTGTGTGGTAATGTGAATGTCACAGAATAATAATTGTGCCTGGTTTATGCTGCATCTCATTTGTTTGTTTTAATAAAAAACGGAATATTTGTTCTTATTTATAACTTCAGCAAAAATATTTGTGGTTCTTTTCACTCACTCAAAACAAATGAAATTCCCAATTGCTATTTTTCACTGCTTGCTAAACAGTAAAGAACATGTTTCTTAACTTAAATGAATAAGCTGTCTTTTCGGGACACTTACTTATTCACTTGTTTTTGTGAGTTACATGAGAACTTGATGTGTGTGTAAAAATAGTCCTACATTCAGCAGAGGATTAACATAGTTTAGCACCTAAGACTGTAACTAAGGGTAACAGCTAGCACTGGACTCAGTCCAAAGGTAACACACCTACCTGCACTTATAATGGCTCACTCATTTACAGCTTATATCTTGCTTGTTTAATCTTTACAAGAACTGAAGTGGATAAATGTCAGGTTGTGGTTTCACCCGGGGCTCTGTTGGACTTTGTTAGCAGAGAAATTCCTTCAAGCCACACCTGGTATAAAAAATACTGGAATACCAATTTAAAGGGGTCCCATTATGCACATTTTCAGATTTAGCTACTAATCCAGGGTATATGCAGGAATCCTGAAGTCAAATGTAATTTAAGACCCTTTCCACACATAGACCTCATCGCCACTTTTCAACCGGTTACATTGGCGACACACTTCACCTCACTCACATGTATTATACACTCAGTGTTGATTGTCCTTCCTCCTTATCTTCCAACCATTTGGACGCAAACTTGCATTTCCCCATAACGATGTTGTCAACCGGCGTAAACGGACCTTCGCGCTATCAAGCAGTGAGCGTGCGATGTCCTGTTCAGAGGACGTCAAATCCAACGGGATGCCATAAATAAACTACACAGAATCACACTACACACCTACGCAATGATTACATTCAGGCAGACTTTAGAATACAACCTCTTTGGACAATTGATATACTTATTGAAAACAAGCTTCAAAGTGTAATACCTTGGGAAATGCCGTTTAATACTTTTTAATAGCCTTCATTTTCGCTAAATTGATTGATCAACTTTTAATACTTTTTAAGACCCCGCGGACCCCCTGTAATCAGAGCAGATTACCCAGCTGCCCTCTGTTGTGATTGCTCAACCACTTAGAGATGTCCCGCCCCTTAGCCTATCATATTAGCGCACTAGCTTAATGATGTCACTATGATTTACAGCTGAACATCTGGGATCTCTGACTTCATTAACACAATTTTTAAAAAAAACCTCCCGAATATGTTCATCATGTCATGTATAATATTAGGGAAAGCCAAGCTGAAGCACCAACAGGAAAACCCGGGGACATTCCCTAAAACGTGAGGAAGAAGGATGAGAAACGGCCCCTGGAGTCTGTTGTCACTTTATTTTCTTCCCTTCTTCGGAAAAAGGATGAAAAACCGAAGAAAACATCAACCGGAAGGCTCCGAACAGAACTTGACAGCATTGAGAAATCTTTTGCGTTTACGGTCATCTCTACGACGACGACTTCTCGTTATTGTTCTCTTATTTTTTTGTCAAACTATGATTCAGTTCTGAAGTTCAGTTTTTCATACAGAAAAATACAGACAGCTCGTATTTTCTCCTTTCCTTGACACTTGACACGCCTGTACCTCGGAGTACAAATGTTGAAAAGGTACCTGTTGTAAGAATAACTCCTCTGCTCCAACTCGTATAACTCTCACCCCTCCTGAGCATCATTCAGGAATCGGACATAAAAACTGAAACAATAAAAAGGCTAAGGGTAATAACCGAACAAAAAGTACAGAAATATTCTTCAGTCCTGCATTTTGGCGGTGCAGGAAAGGGAGGACCCGTCTCTCCTCGACGCACGAGCGCTGGATTTGGCCCAAATGTGTATGCAAATACTTGTAAGTATGTAAACATGTTTTTTTTTTATTGAAGAGGAGGATAAGAAATGTGGGATGTGTGACTTTGAGGCCTTGAAGCTCCTCAGGAGGTGTTGGTGATGGGTTTGTATTTCTTGAGACGAGTCCACTGTCCTGTGGAGTAGTTCATTTCGAAGACTGTGTCCACCAGCATGGTGGTGCTGCCGGTGCCGTCCGCCTTGGGGAGAACCTCTGTGTGTTCGCTCAGCTTGATCTGGATGATGTCCCCCTGCTCCGGGCACGGGTTCTCTGCAGGACGGCAGGAGGAAGCAGAGGGTTATCAAAGGGTCTAACAGGTTGGTTTGTTGCGTTAAGAAACTACCCGGGACACTTCCTGTAACTTTCTACATTTATGCCACTGGTTTTATTTCAATTGAACAAGATCCTGACATCGAATATGACCTCTGACTCATCTCCCAACTTAACCGAATACAAATGTGTCCTAGCTTCGTAGTTATTTAGGAAACGTTGCAGAGTCACTGTCCTCCTCATTAAGGTAAGAAACTTTGACCTTATGCAGATGTGTGGTTGACCTCTTTGCTCGGCATTCAGTCAGTCACTGAATAAAGAACAGGCATAAACATAAGAACTGTTTGTAAAGAATTTCATTTTCTCCTGTACCTCTGGATCCTGCCATGAAGCCCAGGATGAGGGCCTTCTCCGGTCTGGTGACCTTGTTGGCCGTCTTGAACATCTCCTGGGCGGCGTACATCTGGTCTCTCTGAGGAGCAGGAACAGCAGAAGGGAATTACAAATCCATACATTACAATTAAACTATTATTGTGTCTTTGAACCACCAAGCAACCTCCACCTCCACCTTACCGTGAGGGACAGATTCTTTTTGGGCTGGGGCTGTGGTGGCGTGGGGGTGGGGGTCTGAGGGGTGCTGGGGGGCTGGGTGGGGGTCTCTGGCTGGCTGGCGGTGGCGGCTGCTGGGGGCCCGTTGCTGGCGGGGGTGGAGACGGGCGTGCTTGGAGACGTGGGGGTCGCGGGGTTGGTCGTGTTGCTGGCGTTGTACATGGGCGTCCTCTGTTTGTACTGGCCCGGTAGTGTTGCCGTGGCGCCGGCGCCCGCTGTTGCCGACTCCTCTGGTTGGCGTGCCGACTGCAGCGTGTCCCGCCCCGACCCACCGGCGTTCGCTTCAGAGGGGGGTGGAGAAGAAGAGACATTGTGAGATTGACATGATGCAAACACCTGAGCTCTGCTAAGCGCCCCGATAAACATTCCTTTGTGTCATTTTGCAATATACTGATTTATAGAAATAGTTATCCACGCAATAAACCATATTTCATTTTGTCTCAATTTACATTATTTTGTTTCATATTCTGTTCTTGTACATATCATATGTGACTTGCTCTATCGTCACATTGACTGTCACCGAGTCATCATTTTGAGAAAAGTTTCCTCTTCTCTGGAATCCATCTGATTGATTATTAGCGGCTACTAAATGATCAAAGTACTACGAAGGAAACATATTTTCGTTTGGATTACTGGTCTGGGGGAAGCTCGCGAGCGTGTGTGTGTTTGTTTCCCGGGGAAACCACTCACGAGAAACACCGGCTGTTGTTATGCCTGCTGTGACGTCAAGTTACTCCGTTCTCCGCTTGTAATTATGCCGAAGCTTCAAAGTTGTATTTATCATCTGAATTTGCCGAAACAAGTTTAATATTCTGAAAGCCAAGACTTTGTTTATTTGAAACCAGATGAAAACAAACTGTAACGGACCCTGCCGTGTTATCTATGATTACTATACTCTTACATTCATAATGTCAGCCGGAGGGAGGGGGGGCGGCGCTGCGGAACAGCAGGGTGCGAGTGAGAGCTGTCGTGTTCACTTTACAAGCTTCAAACATATATTTATCGTGTGATTTTGGAAATAAAAGTTTCATATTCTGAAAGCCAACACTTTGTTTGTTTAAAATCAAACAAAACCCCCGAACAACTATTTTTTTACGCAAATCCACATTTATTTTGAAATGAGCTGTTGCGACTTCCGACTGATTTCGATAGAGCGGGTCACAGATTCTATTTACATGTGTATAGACTTTTTGCACCACTTTTTATTTTGTATTTTATTATATGTGTTGCATTGTTGGAGGAGCTCAGGTCAGAAGATGTTCATTGCCATTTCTACACTGTAGCTGCTTTGTGCATAGGACAATAACACATTTGAATCTTGAAATGCCCTCCTGCTGCCTGTAGGGAGGGTTTTTTCTGCGAGAGCATAAAAGCACTTTTTATTTCAGCAAACAATACAGTTCTCTGTGTTTGTCTAACCTGGCTGTGCCTCGGAGCTGGGGATGTAAGAGGAGGAGGGGACCATGCTGGGTGTGGCCGGCAGGTAGCTGGTCGACGGCAGAGGATTCTCGGTCAACGCCCCGAGTTTCTGTCAAACAAAACGGTTTTAGTTACGATGGTCAGAGAAAGACTGAGTGACACAGAGAGGCGGTCATTTGAGACGATGTTTAAATGCTGTGGAGTAGAGTACCTGTGCAGACACCAGGCCTGCGGCGTAGTCTGGCGTGGTGTTCTCCACCACCGCTGCTGCTAACGCTTCTTCTTTGGCTGCTTTCTCTCCCGCCTCCGTTTCTAAAGCAGAAGATACCAACTCATGAACTCGTGGTGCAGCTTTAAAATGTGGGCTGGTAGAAGACTGGATATATAGTTACCCAAAGTCTTTCTTCTCCTCTTAGCTTCTCTTCCAGCGCCGACCATATCCAGCTCGGAAATATCTAAGAGCTAAAAAAAAAAAGGAGGAAAAAGTCCAAAATGATAACACATTTAGGCAATAAAACTAGGACACAATAAAACTAGCCCACAATAAAACTAGCCCACAATAAAACTAGGACACAATAAAACTAGCCCACAATAAAACTAGCCCACAATAAAACTAAGACACAATAAAACTAGCCCACAATAAAACTAGCCCACAATAAAACTAGCCCACAATAAAACTAGGACACAATAAAACTAACCCACAATAAAACTAACCCACAATAAAACTAGCCCACAATAAAACTAGGACACAATAAAACTAGCCCACAATAAAACTAACCCACAATAAAACTAGCCCACAATAAAACTAGGACACAATAAAACTAGCCCACAATAAAACTAGCCCACAATAAAACTAGGACACAATAAAACTAGGACACAATAAAACTAGCCCACAATAAAACTAGCCCACAATAAAACTAACCCACAATAAAACTAGCCCACAATAAAACTAACCCACAATAAAACTAGCCCACAATAAAACTAGCCCACAATAAAACTAGCCCACAATAAAACTAACCCACAATAAAACTAACCCACAATAAAACTAGCCCACAATAAAACTAGCCCACAATAAAACTAACCCACAATAAAACTAGCCCACAATAAAACTAGCCCACAATAAAACTAACCCACAATAAAACTAGCCCACAATAAAACTAACCCACAATAAAACTAACCCACAATAAAACTAGCCCACAATAAAACTAGCCCACAATAAAACTAACCCACAATAAAACTAGCCCACAATAAAACTAGGACACAATAAAACTAGCCCACAATAAAACTAGCCCACAATAAAACTAACCCACAATAAAACTAACCCACAATAAAACTAACCCACAATAAAACTAACCCACAATAAAACTAGGACACAATAAAACTAGCCCACAATAAAACTAGCCCACAATAAAACTAGCCCACAATAAAACTAACCCACAATAAAACTAGACCACAATAAAACTAGCCCACAATAAAACTAGCCCACAATAAAACTAGACCACAATAAAACTAGCCCACAATAAAACTAACCCACAATAAAACTAGCCCACAATAAAACTAGACCACAATAAAACTAGCCCACAATAAAACTAGCCCACAATAAAACTAGCCCACAATAAAACGAACCCACAATAAAACTAGCCCACAATAAAACTAGCCCACAATAAAACTAGCCCACAATAAAACTAGCCCACAATAAAACTAACCCACAATAAAACTAACCCACAATAAAACTAGCCCACAATAAAACTAGCCCACAATAAAACTAGCCCACAATAAAACTAACCCACAATAAAACTAACCCACAATAAAACTAACCCACAATAAAACTAACCCACAATAAAACTAACCCACAATAAAACTAGCCCACAATAAAACTAGCCCACAATAAAACTAACCCACAATAAAACTAGCCCACAATAAAACTAACCCACAATAAAACTAGCCCACAATAAAACTAGCCCACAATAAAACTAGCCCACAATAAAACTAGCCCACAATAAAACTAACCCACAATAAAACTAGACCACAATAAAACTAGCCCACAATAAAACTAGCCCACAATAAAACTAGCCCACAATAAAACTAGACCACAATAAAACTAACCCACAATAAAACTAACCCACAATAAAACTAGCCCACAATAAAACTAACCCACAATAAAACTAGCCCACAATAAAACTAGCCCACAATAAAACTAGCCCACAATAAAACTAACCCACAATAAAACTAGCCCACAATAAAACTAGCCCACAATAAAACTAGACCACAATAAAACGACTCAGACTTGAGTTTGATCTAGGAGGGTTTTCTGGAATCTGACATTACCTTGACCCCCCTCTCCTTGCGCAGAGGCGTCCGTGCCGGGGCGATAGGCGTGCGGTTACTGGGCGGGCTGAACATACTGGGGGCCGTGGGACTGCGGAACGGGGCCTTGTTGGGAATCCCCTTGAGAGGAGCTGAGAGTAACAAATGTATCAGCAACAAGAGTCTGAGTAAAAACGTCAAAATGATTGCTATGATGGTACTTTTTTTTAGAAGCACTGAATGAGCTTTCATTGATATTCAACTCACTGGTTGTGTCGATCTTTTTGACCAGTCCTCTCCCTTTGGCGTGAAAAGGCACTCCGGCTGTCTTTTTCAGCTGCTGCGCTGTCTCTATGGCTAGAAGGGAAAGTAATGTACTGTGAACAAATAATCAACAAAGAACACACGCTGATCTTGCACACAATCGTAAACCATGCCTAAAAAGTACAAATATGCCAATATCAAGCCAAAGGGAACAAATTACACTGATGCTTCCAAATACTGCAGAGAAATGTATTCGTTAAAGGTTAACTTACATTTCTGCAGCAGCTCCGCTCTGAGTGTCGCACTCTTGGGTTTCCTCTTCAGCTGGAAATGTTTGACGGGGGGGGTAAGGGGTCCCACCAGAGTGGTTAACGCACTTTTGTTCAGGTACTGGCACTCCAGAGGAAGCATGTTCGACGCCTCGCACTCGCCCACTGGTGGGGGGGGGGGGGGAACAGAAGACGAGGGGAAGAGATTAATCAGCAGATTTACAGAAGGACAGATGGAGGATCTAGCACTCACTTCACAACCTTACTTGCCCATGTTTAGCAGATGAAAAATGTTAGCAAACAAGCTCGCAAAATATCACTAAACATTAGAATCCATATGCCAATTTTGGCCAGATGGACTAAAAGGTGTATACACACACGCTAGAAAGGATAAAAGCAACACTTTATTAAGGGTTTACATCGTTAATGAAAACCTTTTGAAGGCCTCATGCATAAAGATGTTAGCTTTTACCAAAAAAGTACCGTAAATACTACAAAAAAATGCATTCATAACATGCCATTTCAAAACAATGACATATGCTCACTATTCCCACATACACCAAACGTTATGACCATATTCACATGTGAGATATTGAATCCCTCAAGCTATTCATAAAGTATCAAAAGACAGGGGTCTGACTGAGAACAAATACAAGTGTTTAGTAGATTCTAATACCCTCTTATTTTCCAGACTGTACCAGAACATTATGTATTAACCATAAGTTCATACTCTGCTGTAATTACACTCTTTGTTCCAGAGCAGCGGGCTGAGTAACACAACATTAGTATTACAATGCTGTGGGTCCACCACAACTAAATACAGTCACACACTGCTTACCTTTCTCCCTCAGCTCTCCGAGGATATCCTGCACATTTGGATTCTGCTCCTCCAGGTCCAGGTTGAGAGAGCCGGTCTCTGGGAAGGACTTGAGGATGTCTGCGACCATCAGCACCCAGGGCTCCGAATCCACCGTCGCCAGCTGGATGATCTCCGACAGGGCCTCCTTCATCTAGAGAGGAAGACGGGGTTAGTAATAATAATAATACATTTGATTTATAAGCGCTTTTCCAGGTGCTCAAAGACACTTTACAGAGGAGATAAAAAGGAAATAAAACTATTCACACATTCACTAAAGTTGTGTACATAAGTCTGAGTTTTAACACACTTTCTGATCAAGTACTTTACTTCAGTATAATGATGGGGTACTTCCATTTACTGCTACTTTGTACTTCTACTACAATCCAGAGGAAAATATTACACTTTCACTCCACTACATTTATTTGACAAAATGAGTTACTCAGACTATACGTGAACCCAAACACAACCACCTGTCCCTACCTGAGGAGGTCATGATAAAGGGAGGACTTGACGATATTATTGTTTATTTGCAGTTTAATGTCTTGAGCTTTCAGTCATGTAAAACCCAAAGTACTGTCTTTAAGTCTTTTGACCAATGGCAAGAAAATCGCAAATGCATTACATTCACAAGAACAAATGCAAAAGGTTTAGTTTCTGCTGTTCCTTCCTATCCTGTTGCTGTGTCACTTCAGTGAAGCTGCAGATCTCTTAGAGGTCAAATGGCTTCGATGTAATCGCCGATTGATCACCAAGATTTGTATCTGCAGCTTGTGACAAAATGATGCAACAGGATTTGCGAAGCATCTGTCAACTATTATTATTTACATGCAGCTTGTTTACATTGACATTGATGACATGTTAGCAACAGTAAAGATCAGCGACCTACAGTATTTAAAATAAAGAACACCATCGACTACAATGAAGGCAGACATCTGGCAGCAATCAAATCATGTTAGATCATTTGAGTTACAAGCAGCATTAGTTACACTTCATCTGATTTCCTTGTGTGAAGTACATGAGAGCCATCTTCTGACTGTACAAGAACAACATTCCTAAACTCTTCATCGCTTGGGAATGTTTGCAGATGAGCAACTTCACCGCATTTTATATTGAAAGCAAAACAAAACAGAAACTAGGGCTGACTTATTGGGGTAATGTAGCTACGCACATTCACTAAAGTTGTGTACATACATATAAGTCTGAGTTTTAACACACTTTCTGAATATGCGTTATTAAATAAGGAAATTGGCTTCACTTTTAACAGCGGTGATAAACAAATGAATCCATCAAAAATAATAATCCAGTCATTTAATACATGATTTTGCATAATAAGTACTTTTAATTGTGGTACTTTAAGTTTATTTCGTTGCCAATTTATTCCTACACTGTTGTACTTCAACTTTACTTAAGTACAAAATCTGAGTATTCGTACAGTTTGCAGAAGAATGGAATTGTGAGTCTGTCTGTAACAAATATGACGGGTGTCTAACGTTGAGGCAGTTTATCAAGTGATGAGTGGGACTAGATGCTGGGACCGCCTCCAGCTCGGCCACTCTGCTCTCTTGTGCCCATCCCACCATAATGTCTGAACGAGGACAGCTCGGCTAATGTTTCCCGGTGTCGCTGCTCAACCACTGCAGAAAAAACGCGATTATATCGTCAAGTCGGTCGTTTAGCTAGTTAACGAACTTACGTGTAGACGTCTATCTCAAGAACGGATGTAAATCGGCCCGGGCGCAGGAATATCATGTTCTAGTTTGTTACGTTAGTTCGCTAACTATAGTAACTGTTGCAAATAATCAGTTAGAGATAGCAAGCTAATGCTAACTACATAGGTGATTAAGCATGTTTAGACGTTTCACCTGTAGTTAAACACCAACAGAACAAGTAATGCTTCGATTTATAACTACTAGTCTTACATTGAGCTGACTACTTAGCTGTGTTTTTAAGTTAAAAGCCTACTTTACCTGTCAGGCTAACAGAAAGCTACCGAAAAGCGACCCACCTCGTCCACGGTCCGCCGGGGGAGATGCAGCATCCCGAGCAGCAGTTTCAGCTTCACCGGCGGCGACAAACTCGAAAAGCACAGCCGTATGTTGTCAATTACTGACACAGTGAGGAGAGAAGCGATGCTCGGAGGCGTCCAAAGCTCGTCCGTGGATCCCAATTTGTTGTGAAGCCACAGGCCGGTGTCGCTGTCCTTCATCGACGCCATCTTGGAAAAAGAAGTGTTTTGAGTTCGGGCATTTTAACGGGCCACCTAAGAAAACAGTCAGGACCCCGCCCACACCGGGCTCTTTTGACAACATTGAAGCACAACAAAATAAATAAAAACTGGAAAATACTTTACATACTGTGGTCTTATCTGATATATGAATGTAATTGCTCTGTTTGAAACGTTCGACTGTATTTATTCAGTTTGTGCCAAAATACTAAAGGAAAAAAACATTTAGTTTCATTTTGTGTATTTCAAGGCAAGGCAAGTTTATTTATATAGCACTTTCCAACACAAGGCAATTCAAAGTGCTTTACAAAAAATGAAAGAGATTAAGAAAATGGCATTTAAAATCAGTCATTAAAAAGAAAAGCTAATAAAAGAAACATTAAAAGAAAAAATACATGGATAAAAGTTACAGTGCAATTAAACATTAAAAGAAAAAGTACATGGATAAAAGTTACAGTGCAGTCTAAGATATGAATAGTTCAATTAAAAGCAGCGACAAAAAGAAAAGTCTTCAGCCTGGATTTAAAAGTAGTAAGAGTTGCAGCGGACCTGCAGGTTTCTGGGAGTTTGTTTCAGTGCAATTCTTGTATGTTTCAAACGGTTTCAAAGCATTACTTCAAAAAAACATTTAAAAAGTAAGTTCACTAATGCAATGCGCTTTTTTATAATATATTATAATGATACAAAATGTCCCCTTAACTCAGGTGAAAGTAGAAATGTTGCATTTAATAAGTATTACGTAGATTGGCTTGAGTGTATCTATATATATTATTACAAATGAAGTGTATAAGCAACAATGTGACAGCTGATTGAGCTAGAGCACATGTTTACAGCTTGATACTTAGGACACTTTATAACATAGGCTAATCATATCCCATTATTTGTGACGTTTACTCTCTTTTAAAACATACCACGTTTTTGATCTGAAAAATAAGAAGTAACGAGAAATGTTGTATAAAATGTAGTGAAGTACAGTTCGATATTTTCCTATGGTCTGTTTAGGGGTTGCAGAAAACGAGAAAAAGACAAGTAAAGTAGGCCTACTTCAAAAATAATATTAAGTACTTTGTTTATTGTACCATTAACCATAAATAAAACAATGTATGGCAGAGTAAATACATCTTTACAGTTAGTCATTAATTCTAAGTTTTTCTAGGCTTTTATTTTGAATATTTTCACCGGAAGATTCTGGTCCCCAAAGCAAATAGAGGCACACGCATGCGCACTCCCGTACTCCACATTAAACAACCCTAGGTAGGCATCTTGCGTTGATTCTGCAAATATCATCGACTGTTTCACGGTAGGATAACACGTCATTTGTCAAATAAACAGAGATTATAGTCTGTGTATTCATACTTTTAAATACATACACATATTAACGGATGAAAACGGGACTATTTTCCAAACAAAGCCAATCGGATGCTGTTATTTCATTTATTGACGGCCGTGTGGAACATTTTCTGTTGTTGTATTTTACCAAACACCTGGGCAATTTTATTTCTAGCTCCAAAAGGTAATTGATCAGCACCATGGCGTCCAGTGGATATCTGCAGGCAGCGGTGCTCCTTCTGGCGGTGCAGCTCATCTGTCTCGGTGCAGCTGATGCGGATCATGAGACTGGGACTGTCATCCCTGCTGAAAGTAGATGGATTTAATATAAATATGAATTTTTCTCCATGTTCAGTGCAGGTTTATAAATATATGCGTGGTGGGAATCTGCCACAGTGGTGTTTTCTTAGGTCCCCACACAGGTGTCATGGTGGAAATTGTAGGTCATCCTAATTGCCTATTTGTGACAACAAGAAAATGGGTACTGCTACTTTAAGACCCAAATGTCATAGAAATGTAAAGGTTAGGATTTTTTCCTTTGCAGGTACCATTTATGATAACAATGTTTAACTTTTGGGTCTGTAAAATATCATTTAATATATTGTACAACCCAAGTTTCTCAGAGGCCAATTAATGTCTTTAAATGAAATGTTCAGATTTTATATGATATAAAACAGAGACAACTCCATATCTGAGAGGTGTAAAAGTGTAATTTTTGCATGAAAAAGTACCTAAAGGATTATTTGATAACTTGGTAGTTGGCATATATATTTCTAGTCAGTGTCAACTATTTGTTGCAGTTCTAGATGTAAGCAAACCTCAGGTAAATATGTCTGTGTAACTAACTGACACGTTTCTGAAAATGTCCCTTTTATTTGCAGGTCGCCCATGTGTGGACTGTCATGCATTTGAGTTTATGCAGAGGGCCCTGCAAGATCTAAAGAAGACTGCGTTCAACCTCGACGCCAGGGTAGGAGAATAAATACTTTCAATATTTTTACTTGAGAAACTGTTAAATGCTCATGATTCATACGCTATTATTATGCTGGATGATGGCTTAATATTGCAGGTTAATTGAAATGCTGTCATTTAACATACATTATAATGTAAAGTTATTTGGTAGAATTCACAATAAAGTCAGCTTTTTTAGGTGAAGTATTTAAGTAATATAAGTCTTCATTTTTATACATTAAATGAACTAGAAATAACTGAATTAAAGGTACATTGGTTATTATGCTGTTAGTACACACAAGAAAAGTTCCTTATAATGCATTAACGTAATAATTATAATAACAATATCACATTCATTTATTATCACCAGACCCTTAGTACGTTTGGTAGAAAAACATAATTTATTGTCAAACATTCACATACTGTTTGACTGAAATGTAAAATAATATTTCCCAATTCAAAACTGAACCTATACAAATAATAAATAATGATATTTTTTATTTACTCCAGAGAGCACTGCATTTTACTGCTTTAATTGATCATTAGTTCATGCATCTTGTAAGAAAATTATGTTTTAATAAAAAAGGCTAAATAAAGTTCTAGTTGTTTCCCCATAATGCAGCATTGACTAGTGTCTGCACTGTCCTCACAAGCTGCATATAACCCCAAAACACTAAAATAGCACAGCAGCATGTATGTTGCTGGAGATGCCGAATCTAGGACAAAAAGCCTGCACGTTAACCTTTTAATGGAACAAGAGTTTCTCCCATGTGGATATGAGCATATGGACAGTAAGAGGACATTGGACTTTCAGTTAATTAAAGGTCACCTATTATGCAAAATCCACTTTTTCATGTCTTGTATACATCAACATGTGTCCCCTCTGTGTAAAGAGATTCCGAAAGTTTCAGGAAAAAAGATTCTCTCTCTTTTTGTCCTGATCCATTTATATAAAAACCTGTCTGAAAAGGAGCTGATCAGATTTTGCCCACTTTATGATGTCATAAAGATTTTTTGGCTTGTGTAACCATTAGCCAAAAGAGTGGTGCAGTGACGAGTCCTAAAACCCGGGAGTGAGTTAGCATTTTACCACTTCCGGTTCCCTGGTCCCAGAGCCAACGGGATTTCTCCATAGAATTTTGGAAAATATCTGGAAATAAGGTCTGTGGTTGACACAAATTTAAGAGACGGATCACGTTTTGTTCTACGACATTAAATACATCAGCAGTGACCCCACTGGTGATTTTTTAAGCGTTTACGTGTCGATGAAAAACGATGGTTGTTAACATGTGGCTGAATAGGACTACAAAAGTTGTCGAGGACGTTGTACGTCATTACGCCGAACACGTAAACACTCCCGCTAAGTTTGTTTGCCCCTGTTCTGCTTGAAAGCAAGTACCTGCCTCCTGCAAACTGTTCAAACAAACACTTCAACTTTTACAATTTAGAATCTTTATTTTTGAATATGGATCTTAAGTTGGTGTGACGGTGAAATCGTGCTGCTGTACTTGACTGTAGTTCGTTTATAGCATAACGTTAGCATTTTGCTTCTGGTGATTAGAAAATGATAAAAGTAGGGTAGACATGTGGAGATTATCCGGCTGAACAAAATGTACATTTATCAAACAGCTTTGTTTTTCACAGAACTTATTTCGAGCTATTTTCCAAAATCCTATAGAGAAATCCCAATGCTCTTTTGTCGAGGGAACCCATGCGCAGCTTATTTCCGGGAAAAAACGTCATCCCTGCACCACTCTATAACCAACCAAGGTAACCCCCCCCCCCCACATTATCACCTGAATCTCCTCCTAGAGCAACATTAGGCGCTTTCACACCGGAGTACTTTTCCCCGTACTTTTCCCGTTTAGTTCCTGGGATTTTGTGTTCACACCAAAAAGAGAACTTTGTTCAGAGAACTTTTACCCCCTTTTTAGAGCCTGCTAGAGAGGTGGTACTTTCCTGGGGAGAAAAAAGTTCCAATTTGTGATTGGCTGGGCGAATTGCAAACCACGCTCCGTAAAACTCGGAAACGTTTTTTGAAGCCGCCATTGTATTTGCTGGCATTAGCATTAGCCCCGCGCACCAACAGAGAGAGAATAACTCCCAAAAAAATGGGAGTGGTAGAGTGATGAGGAGGTGTCGGCGTTCTTGCGATTTACTCGGAAGTAACTCCGGGGACTTCGGGTGGCAGTACATGCCGTGAAGTTGTTTGCGGCCTGCCAGTAAACCCAAAGCAGAAGAAGAAGAAGTGACGTCATTTGCGTAATCTTCCCTCAGGGAACTTATTCCGGTGTGAACGCGATCGGCTCTTAGTTCCATGGGGGTACTAAGTGCTGGGTACTAAGTGCTGGGAACTAAGTGCTGGGAACTAAGTACGGCAAAGTACTTGGTGTGAACGCGGCTATTGTGTTCTTTTTAACCAAATATCTCTCAGAGGGGAGGGGCTCCTTATTTTCATCTAAAGTAACAGACAGAGAATCAGCACTTTTGAAACAGGGCTGAAACAGAGGGGATTATGGGTAATGCTACAATGATCTGATTGGTATTTCAGCCAAACACTTCAGAGACATGTTTTGTATATATCTGAGACCTATAATATATTGATGAAAAACAGTATAATAGGGGACCTTTAAGCAAACTGTAAAAGTGAGGAGGACAGAAATAGGACTACTGACACCCTCAGACTTAACTGATGTTTACAAGTTTGTTGTTGTTTGTTGCAGACAGAGACGCTGGTGCTGCGGGCGGAGAGGAGGGCTCTGTGTGACTGCATGCCCGTCAACTCTCTGCGCTGAAGACCCCCCTCCCCTCCACACACTGACACCCACCCTGTTCTAAACCTCTAAACTCATGTACAGCGACCTTCATGTTAACTTATTCACGCAATAGGCACTTTATTTTCCTTTTCTCTCATGTTGTTGTTTTGCCTTATTGGGGACGACTTTTATACCACTGAGGTTTTACATTGTGAAACACGCCTGTGAATTTAGTTTGTCTTCATCGTCACGGGATCTAGGTCAGTTTCTCATCTATGAAGCATAAACTATCTTTTGTACTTTTTAGTATTTGACTGTATAATGTAGATACAGTAGAATGCATCGATAAACTTAACTCGTTGAATGTGTTGTTTGAGATTTCATGTTTACAACGATTATACACATCAAACTGTAGCATCACGTGGAATTTATTTATTAACGGCTCAAAATACTTAAATAAAACATAAAAAAATCAATAATTATGAATCGGTAACATTTTAATTATTTGCTGCCTTTTGCAAGTTGGGTAACTAAAAGAAAGTAATATATCTTTTGGAACAAACAATGAAGATTTATTTGTAACGACATCAGAACAAATAATTTTTTATCAGAAGTTCGAACTAATCTTTTTGAATTTTTCTTTAGGTGGAGAAAGCGTATTTGTAAGTCTTGATTTAGCACAGCACTGTAGCATGAATTTACAGCACTTTTTGTTAAACTGCTGTTATTGTAGATTATATGTATAGATTCTGTATATGTACACGGGTTTTCTCTGCCTGACAGAGGTGTATGCAAGAAATAGTGACGAACGATATAGTATCATAAAATGCAATATCGTCGGGGGAAGGGAGGACGGATAGAGATAGAAATAATATTTGTCTTATGGTTGCTTGTTCATGAACAGTGTACTTTGTTAACATTGTGTCACAAGAGTAAGACGCCACATTTATTGTCTTAATGTTGTACCTATCAATAAAAAACAATGAATGACCTTTATTTGTTTTGGTCTCTGTTAGGCCTCACAGCGCAGTTGTAGCACTGTGATGACTATGTGTAACTCCACTTCTATAATTGGCTTTAACACATATTTTTTCTTGATTTATCCATTAATTGTTTGTGTTATAAATTCTCCAATACCTGGAAAAATTAAGTTTACTGTCACAGAACCCTAATAGCGTTTGAGTATAAAGTTATAGGTGGTTCTTTGCATATTTGCTTTAAAAAACACTGTAAGCTCCTTTAATAATGGCTCTACTTTATTTTTCTCAATTGTTATCAATGACAACACTATGCCGGCCGCCTTACATACATTGTTATGATTTGTAATTAAAAAGTAGGACATTTTGTGTTTCTCTACTGCTTAAAGTTTAGAGGAAAGCATCGGAAACAATTCTGGAAAAACTCATTAATCATTTATGTACATTTTTAAGCAAAAACTATTTTTTACTATTTCACTCTAAATTATTCATCCATTTATCAAATTGTCCAGAAAAAAAAAAGATATCTTAGCATCAGAAAACTATGCAAGTCTTATTTAAATATCTTATGATCAACTTTAGTACTTAGGTAGGTTATGAATAAAGGTGGTAGGTCTCCACCTCTGTACGCATTTCCATCAATGATTATTTATGCTTTTTCAATTTTGAGCAACACCTTGATTCATAGCAGCACTTCCCCTCTGTTCTCTCAGGAGCTGCAGAGCAATGGATGTGTGTGTGTGGCCTAGTATTACTATCCTTGTGGGGACCTACATCTGTTTAAAGTGTCACGTGTGGGGACTCGCCTCCCTTATGGGGACATAATGGAGGTCCCCATGAGGGGAATCATTCATTTTTGGGTGAAGACTTGGTTAGGGTAAGGGTTAGGGTTAGGCATGTGTTGTTAATGGTTAAGGTTAGGATAAGTCTCCAGGAAATGCATGTCAGTCAATGTAATGTCCCCTGAAGTGATGTATACATGGTATGTGTGTGTGTGTGTGTGTGTGTGTGTGTGTGTGTGTGTGTGTGTGTGTGTGTGTGTGTGTGGGTGTGTGTGGGTGGGGAGGGGGGTGTTACCAGCCACAGAAGTGATGTCTAAGGTCCTGCTGTAAGCTGACCTCACCTCCTCCCACACTGACACCTTTTTAATTATTTACAATAGATTAAAGTGAAGTAACCCTGTAGTTCCTCCTCTCCCCCAGCAGGAGGAGCTCTGAGTGAAGGCATGCCGCCAGCTGTGTCGCAGCGATGCAGCACTCTCTTCTTACCCCATGGCTGTACATGCAGATGGGGTAAAACACTGTAAATAGATCCAAAACATGAAACCCTAGCACTGCACTGTCCGCCGTGTCCTGCCAGGAATCTCAGCCCAGAGGGGCCACCATGCACCGCAAGCAATATCGGGACAAATCCCCCTTTACTGCACCACAAGCAGCTTATTACACTCCAGTTCTGTTGCTTCAGCAGCTTTAGCCTAACACTTTTATGGGAAGGAGTGACTGAGAGGGACATCAAGTAAATGCTGAATCACTCTGATAAGCCTTGTCGTCAAGCACTCCCACTTTCTTCCCCCTTTCTCTGCAGGAGCCTTTCAACTTTCTCTTTCATCTGCTCCAAAGCTGACTGAATCCTCCCAGCTGTTTGAGATACTCCGCCGGGGGCAAGCAGGCAAAACCCTCCGATGTTTCCCTCCTCTTTTATCTTACTGAGGCATACATTCGACCTTGCCACAAAAGTTTGGACCGTCTTATCAAACTTTGGATCTTATTTTGCATAACAGAAGGAAACCCCCCCCCCCCCCCCTGCAAATGTATAATTCAGCCGTGTGCTCAGTGGGAATGAGATGACAGTTATAGCACAAGACTGCAAGTAGATATTGTGTTCAACCCTTTTTGCCCTGTCAGCTGAGCTCAAGCAGCCTTTCATGTTCATTTGAGTTTATTGTTAAAACTATTTATTATATAAAAGTGAATATTGTGACTTTTTCATACAATTGAATTGTGAGGATTTACATTTGGTTGGAGTAAGTTTTCAGTCACACTGTTAGCACTTGGAGGGGCAACATATGTTTCAACCATTTATTCACTACTTTAAGCTTTCTATTTCCTCTTTATTTCGGTGACTTTAAAGGTCAATATTTTACTGTGTATTGGTCAAGTTTAGCACATTTTCCTGCTATCTAGCTAAATATTCCAACTATTTAATTGTGACTGTTATCTATATATTTCGACTGTTTATTGATGACTTTTAGCTCAATATTTGCACTGTTTATTGGTGAATTTTAGGAATCATTTCCACTGTTAATTGCTGAATCATTAGATATTTGAGTCTTCAGTAATGTATTTTAGCATTTGTGTTGATAACTTTAAGGTAACTACTTGGTAATGTGTGTTGATTCCTTTTCCTTGACTTTTTTCCCAGCTTATTTTTGAGCTCAAAGCATTACACTGATCCAATTATGAGAACAGAGATGGAGACGGCGATGTGATACCAACATCCTCCATGCCTGGCTCAGGTAAGATCCCTTTCAAGCACAGAAAAGCATGTGCATATTTATGGTGTGCTAGAAGGGATAGTTACCTCAGATTCTGGTAAATGCTGTCCATCAAGAGGTATGGATTTTGCTCCAGGCAGTATATTTTCTTCTTGAGCTGCTGATTCGTTGAGTCTTTTGTAGAGGTCTGTGAAGACAAAACAATCAGAAATAAAAAAGACTAACATGGTGGGCGTTACGAAACAATCAATGAGATGCTATGAAAGATGACAAACAGCTGGTGTGAAATGAAACTGATAAATAAATAAAACGAAAGCCGTTCAGCAGCTGGTAATGCCTCTTTCCTCATGACGAGAAAAACAAAACAACCCGGACAAAAGCAACCCAACTTTATTTGCTGTCACAACTGGATTAATGAGAAAAAACTAAAAAGGACATTAATTCATACACTATGTAACTTAAACCAGTTTCAAGCTATCTGTGAAGATGTTCAGTCATCAGACACTTACACAAGCACATCTGGAGTCACAGTGAATATTCTGCTAGTCTCCCGTTGCTCGTTTTAAATATGTCCCGATACTCTCGTTGATCTAGAACAGGGGTGCCCACACTTTTTTGGCTGGTGAGCTACTTTTGAAATGACCAGCTCACCGAGGTCTACCAACCAAAATAAAATCCCAAATTGCAAGGGTTGCTGAATAACACGTTTTATTTATACATGGGATAACTACAATAGGGCTGCAACAAACAACTAATTTGATAATCGATTAATCTATCGATTAATGAAACGATTAATCGACTATTCAGACTATTACTGTATGCCTTGCACAATTTCTCAAACGCTCTTATTTAGCCATCAACTTTTAGATTTAGCTTGAGGTTGTTTTAGGCATGTGGAAACTAACAATGAAGACAATAAAGATGAATACTTGATTCAAAAATACATATATTATTAAATTAACTTAACTAACTGTTTACAAAACTAACATTGCTTTTTATTTAAATTAAATAAATAATATTTCACATCAAAAGAAACAACAATGTTTTAACAAATCGTATTAAATAATCTGATGACAGAACTGTAAACAGAATAGCTGAAACTTTAACAAAATAAATAACTCTGTTACCTCTAATCATTAACCCATGTTTGTATAATTGAGTTAACTCCGTGTGTTGCTGCTAGCATACAGAACACCTGACGTGGAAACTTTACTCGTGGATGGGGGGGCTACTAGAAAGACAGTCGAACCCGGTGCATTCCTCCGTCTGAATGTGGAGCACTTTTGATAAATGTTTAGACAAATTGCTCGTGTTACCGCCCTCACATGCTAAACACTCTTGGCAAGGAGCATTGTCCACCTCAAGACGGGTAACATTTAACCACACCTTGGAGCGCTTCTCTCCGCCATCTCCGCCGTGTGTTGCTGCATGTAGCAGCTGCGTGTGTAAACTGCCCCGCCCCCTCGCACACAGACGGGATAGAGAGATCTCGTCTCGATTGGAAAGATAAAAATACACCGACCATAGACGCATTTGTTTGTCTTTTTGCATGTTAGAAACGAGTTGGCGACACTAAGACTGCAAGATAATGTTTCTGTAGCAATAATACATGACCTTTCTCAACTCGCTACTCGGAGGGAAGTCGCTGTCATATGCCTTGTGAACACTCCGATAATGCCTCTCCACGTTACCTTTCTTTGGCAGAGCGAGGCTTGCTTTACAAATAATAACCTTTGAATGTGACATCACAAAAAAATATTCTTCCTCCCATTCTGTGTGGAAGTGGTTTGTCTTTAGCTTCTTGCTCGGTCCCGCACTCATTTTGTTGTTTGTCTCTTTAACTTAATTTGAGTTTTTCCGGCACTTGACTGATTTTGTATCGCTTTGCATTCTGGGTTAACAGACTGGAAAGCGATAGGTCTCTTTTTCTGTCAATCAAGTAAACTCCAGGCCAAGGGAGGAGGGATCAAAACCTGTTTTGTCTATTTTAACCTTAACGGAGCTGGATTATTTTTGTTATGAATGACTCGCGATCTACCAGCATTGCCCCCGCGGTCGACGTACTGGGCAACTCTGACTAGGAGATGTCTCCCTGTATGAGAGATATCAAAATGTAAAAGTAGTGTAAACTCTTGGCAACAGCAACAAGAGCACGCTGGAGAATTTGCCAATGTTAGCAGGGCACAATGAATAAGTGATGTGCATGATAATGCATTAATTATATATATTTCTGCTGTTCCATCATGAATTACTCATCATATGACAATCTTAGAAAACGCATGCCCAATGCTATGGAAGAATGGACCCAAGAGAGATTGCAAATGGACAGATGGGACAAATAGGAAAGGAAATCATGGTTTTAATTGTGAAATAAGCATAAAGCACCAGCTATTTATGGTCCAACTGCCACCACACAGTATGTGTAATGCAACAATATACTAGGCTTAGGCATATTCAGTTCATATTAATAAAAACGTCCAGTATTCAATACATGACAATTAATTAAATGTAATAAAAGTGACTATTATTTTGTATGTATTTGTTAAAAACCCTGAAAGCTTGGTTTTTAAGTGAGTCTCCATGTCCTTGTATACACATTAATGAATAAATAAGCAACGTTCAGGGTAAACGTTTGTAAAAAACGTTCTTAGTTGTTATTTATCATGTGTTTAACAACTTCAGATTGATCTTAAATGGGCGTGTAATGATCATATTTGACTGACAGTGGCTGTATTGCAATATAAGCAACAACCCGATAACGCAACAGTACACGATTCAAAGAAGTGTGTGACGCTACTTTTATGCAAGTGATCCCAGCCAACTTCAATCAAACAAAGCAGTCTATCATGTCAAACATCCAAAATCATTACAAAATCAATCATATCAAAGTTTTGGTGGTTGTTCGTATTTCCTGTATTTAAACTCTTTCAAAGCTCCCTTCCTACCACAAGGTCAAGAAACTCCACATCTCTCAACAACAGGCGATATTCATGAAACGTCTCAAGGCTTATATCGCCCATAGCAACAAGGTCAAAGGGACTTCTTCTAATTGGCCCCAGCTGCTGTATGAGTCGGTCTCAAAAGGAAATCACTTTCCATACTAGGGCCATTGGGGGTAATTTCTAATGGAAAGTTAAAACACTTCCTGAATATGACCTCAGAAATGGCCTCATTTCATGTATCAGAAATGCTTTAGTATTTTAGTATAAATTAGTGTCGCTAACCTTTGACCACAAGAGGGAGACAGACCTCAGGTACTAGGATGTCATTCACAGACACACTTTTTATTCTGTCTTTAATATTTGAAACTGTGCTTAAATTGAACTTTAAATAAATGTTGGTGTCTTGTACCTTAAGCTACCTCAGCACTGTGTTAAAAACACACATTCTTGAGAGGGTGTTTCTACACTTCAAGGTAGTATGTGAAGTAGTAGTAGTATATTCTTTTTTTTGATACCTATCAAGACAGAAATTGAGGAGGTTTTCGACTCACAGGGCCCTGGCTTTTCCTCGAAAAAGTCATGAAAGCCATTCTCCTTTCAGTCTGGATCAGGGGTGTCAAACTTAATTTCATCACGGGCCACATTCACATTATGGTTGCACTCAAAGGGCCGGTTGTAACTTTAAGACTTGAAACCTAAAAAAGACTTTTTATTTATAAAATAATGTATTATATTACATGATTGCCTCTGCATTGGATTATTATCGGATAGGGTAATAACTTCATAATTAACTTGGTCTGAAAGCAGAAGTCTAGGGCAAATCGTTGCAAGTCTCTTCAGTGAGAATGTCACAAAATGATTTTAAAAGAAAAGCAAAATTAAAAAAAGGTGACATTTTGAAAAAAAGTCAATTCTGAGATAAATGCTAATTTGAGATGCATCGTGCTCCATGGGCAACGTGCTTCTGTAAATCGCCCTGTAACCGTATAACAAACATATTATATTCTTTGCAAGCTCTTGTGGGGCCACAGAAAATGAAGTCGCGGGCCGGATTTGGCCCCCGGGCCTTGAGTTTGACACCCCTGAACTAGAGCTTTCTGTATTTGTACACAAACAACCTTCTCAGGCTGGGGAGACAGAGGAGGGGGTGGCAGGTGCCGAGGGTTTTTTAGGGGAGATAGTTGAATTAAATAACAAACTTACATTTTTTCCTAAATTCCATAGAGGATTGTGTGTGGATGGATCTGTTGCAGCAGGTAGCTTGAGCTTAATTTGCCTCTTTTCGTCTCCAGCAAGAGAATATAGTAACGTTTAGGATGTGATCCACCAAAAGCAGACACTTAGAGGTCAAGTTGACTGACAGAATAAGATGTAACATGGCCATTGGCAGCGTGTGGTTGGGTGGGGGTTGGGGAACCTAAGTTAACTAAAGGAGGTCGTTTATATGTCTGTGCCCAGGGGCCCAGCGATTCATAACCCTTCTTCAGAACACTTCATGTGTGTTGCTTATTTGTGGAATGTGAATTTGTGTTTTCTTATAAAAAAGTGCTGTAAAAAACCTTCCCAGAGAAGAGGATAAAAAAACAACCTTTTGTACCCCACACACGACAGACTTCTGAAGAGCAGAGTCCTGTCTGGCCGCCCTGCTGAAAAAGGTCAGAGGTCACGGCGGGAGCAGAGGCATGAGAGTCAGCAGTGTCATGATGTGACCTTCAGAGGGGGGGGGGGGGGGGTTCCTCAGCTGCAGGAAAACACAGAGAGTCAGAGGTCAGACGAAGATTAGAACAATATGTGGGGCTCTGAGGACCGGCAACAAGGCTCACAGATTTATTTACGCGTGGTTGTTGTGTAATTGTTTTCTTCCGTAGAGAAAGAACATAACCGCGAATTGAACTCTGGACATGGTTATAATGCGTTTTCACTACTATTTTACTGTGAGTTAACCACACTGTTGAAAATCCATCCACTCTGCAGCTGACTCGCTTCACACCGACAGCCGGATTATTATTAGATGTTCAGGAGACATGTGACGACGGTCAGATAAGGGCTGCCTTCAGAATCACATACTAACACACTGCCTCATACAAACTTAATCAGTATGTACTGCAAACTGGCTAGTAAATGAAGTATGCTAATCACGTGACTGACACAGCCAAGCAAACGTTATTTGGATCAACTCATCATAACTTTGGAATCTAAATGGTAATTTTTTAACATCTAGAATTTAATAAAGGGAAATGTACACCCTCAAATATGCTTGCTAATGTAGTTTGGATTTTTGCATTTTTAGCATACACAAAATCCACATACCATAGAACGCACTACATATACTCATACTTAGTGTTACAAGTGTGCATGTTTAATTGTCTTTGTGATTTATTTAAAAATGTGTGTACATTGAATTGGGCTTTTCGAGTTTCCTTTTGTAAGGAGTTCTTTGAGAAAATGTAAATAAGGGATAAACAAATGTTGTAATATTGAGGCAGAGACTTGCTCCTGCAGTAGCTAAATAACAAGTCATAAACATATATATGGCTTTTTAAATTACTTTACAAGATTACATTGGCAGCACCACGTGCTAATTGGTGTACTTGTTATCAATCATTTTATTTTTTGGTCGATAATTAGATGTTCTGAAGTTTCATGCTTATTTCATGATTGCAACATCACCGACAGAACTTGAAGGCGTCACTTGCAGGAGCGATAGAGAAGAGCCCACTGCGCATGCTCAGAGCATCTTCCGCTCGGTCGGTATGGAGAGCTCCGCTGCAGAGCAGGCGCTGATGCGTGGAAAACATCTTTCGACGCTTTTTTGTCAAATGTCCGGGCTGAGCAGAGTGCAGGGTATCAGCCACTCCGCCTCCTCCTTCATATGGTGGGAGGAAGAGGAGGAAGGGGACACCTTAAGGAGGAGGGAGTGGGGGTGGATGCAGCCTTATCAATAGCAGGTTGATCCAGTTCAAACTAGTTCTGCGATTGAGGCTCTTCTCTGGACTTAAATGAAAATATTACCTCACATTTTCTTATTTACGGTATTAAAATAACGACATGGTGCTGCAGTGGACATTATTGTTTAGCATTAACAGCTTTTATTACCTTTGACGGTGATGACACAACCTCAGCGTTATAGGGGCTGTCAAAATAAAAGCACGTGCATGTCATAGCACCACTTTAATCCATGAATGCTTGAGTGTTTAATGACAGTCACGGTTAATTGGGGAGGGTCGGGGGAACAACAAAGGGTCGCATCACCAGCTCCACCACCGTGCGTAAAGCCGGTTTTGTGGTCGCTACTGGTGCTTTGGCTCAAGTCTCAGTCAGACAGAATGGCTGATGGGAGGTTTCAGATGCGCAGTATAGGCGAGATATGTTCTCCATGTTGCATGACAGGAGCAGGGTGACACAGCGGAGGGAAGCCGGGGAGGAATCACTGCAGTGCAGCAGAGCTGTCAGTCAACAGGCGGAGGAGGCTGCACTCATACATTATATGGCGAATAACAGCTGATTTTAACGATTAAACTGTGATTTTAACGCTGATTCGTATCAGAATAGACCATTGGAGATATTTTCCACCTTCTTATGTCAAAGTAGTATATTTACATGGGCAATTACGTAATTTATAAACGATTTAGGTGATTAGAAAGGAACTATTTTCACCTCAAATTGATCATCAACCTCCATTATAAGTAATAATAAGCTAAGATTTTCATTATAAGCTGCAGTCTCCCTGTTAGAGGGTTTCCTCCGGTTTGACGCATCGCCCCCTCTTTACCTTGCGCCTTTGTATCGCCACCTTATAGCCATCTGAAAAAACCGGGGATCCTCCTCACTGAAAGACATTAAGAAGCCAAACCTGTTCAGAAACAACCTCTATACGCAATCTCGCCATCCCACCCACTTCTCCTGGGCTCACATCTTTAAAGCCCACACTTCTGGGCTCTGATCAGATGCAGAGAGCCACAGTCTGCCTCACCCTCCTCCCTCTGCGTTTCCACCAATCTGTGCGTCGAGAGGTCCACCCCAACCCCTGAACCTGAATCTACCCGCCCTGCTGGCATATAAATACGACTTTAATCACAACGGCACTTCTTGGTCGTCAGAAACGCTCAGGGTTGCAGCAGAACATCCCCCTTCGTCTTATCCCATTCATCGTTTCTCTGTTTTATAACAAAAACATCATCCATTTTCACTCTCCCCCCACTTTTTTCCGAGCTGTAGTGGTTTTTGCGGCCAGTTGCATGCATTTTTCGTCTCCCAAAATGGTTTGCGAGACTAAAATTGTTGCGGACGAACATGATGCTATACCTGGGACCAAAAAAGAGTCGATGATGTGGAGCACTGTGCCGGCCAGCGCGGCTCTGAACCCCGCAGAGGCGAGGGATGTGAGGAAAGATGTGGTTTATATCCGCGAGTTCGAGTGCGGGGATCATGAGGAGGTGCGGCGCATCTTTTACGAGGGTATTATGGAGAGGATACCCAACACGGCGTTTAGGGGGCTCAGGCAGCATCCCAAGACCCAGTTTTTATATGCTCTTCTGACAGGTAAGTCCCCCTCTTTACTTTGCATCATGCATCTTTAGACCAACTTTCCAATAATAACAATAATGAGTTATTTCTAATCTCTGTTGCACTTTCTTTTGATGTTCCTATAGTGTGATTTATTTGAGGAACTTGTCTTAAAACTATCGTGTAAATGCCCTGAAGTAAAAAAAAAAATGGTTGCAGCATCACCAAAGGGTGCCTCTTTCCACCGGCACTCACCGGCATGTTGCTCCTCGCGCAACAAAAGGCATGGCCGGGCATGGTGCACGTGTATAACCGGCGGACTGATTTTGTGTGATGACATGTCGGCGCCGTGAATGAATGAGTGAATGAATTTGAGGATTGGCCCACGGGGTGCGCGCACGTACCCAAAAAAAAGCACTCCAAAACCCCCCACGCCAGCGCACCCCAACACTCACATTAAAATCCCCCTGTGCGCGCACACCCCTCCTCCTCCCCGCCTCTGCGCCAGTCATGCACTGACCACTTTTGGCTTTTGTTGATATTAATGCCTTGTAACGTGTACGGTGCCTTTACGCACGCCAAAATCAAAGAATCGGTTGACATTTTTGAATATTTCGGCTTCATTTGGCGATATTTGGACTGCAAGGCACAACCAATAGTCCTGCCTGTGAAATTCCCAAACAAATTCTATTTCCGTGCGGTTATATGTGATATTTATAGGTAGAATTCCCCATTGCACCCCCCTCTTCGTGTTTGACACTAAACTGGAATAAACTCATGTTATTGCATGAAACAGAACATGCTATGCAGCATCCAGCCTGCTTTGTTGAGGTTGCGCCCCCCAGCGTTACACCCGACTAATTACTGGAGTTTGGACTTTTGGATTTAATGATTTTAATACTAACATGCACTGAAAGTTTTACCCTGCTATACTAATGTGCCTTCAGTTCTTTGCTGCATTGTGTCAAACTAATCCTAATCTCTTTTTATGAAAATGTAAATGTGAATTTCACTTTATTGAAATGTCATATTGCTCTACTTCTGTGTGTGGTCAATTTCCTCCAAATCAAACATGTGATTCTCTTTTCTGACAGGTTTCGTTTATTTTTCTTCCATTTCTCCATAGTAATGTGCTTTTTCGTGACCAAATCCGTCACGCTGACCTGCTGTGCGCCCCTCTTTCTCATGGGCGCGCGCTACTTCTACAGCAGGAAAGTTATCCACAGTTATCTGGACTGTGCTCTGCACACGGACATGGCTGACATAGAGGCTTATTACATGACACCCACAGGTAAGACGAGGGAGAAACGTCACCATCCTTAATACACTATTAAGATACACATTGTCTGGTTTGTCAGTAGGCAATGCTCCACCAGTGTTGATTTTAGCAATAAGAACTTTTAAAAAGTAAGGGATTGTAACTTTGCTGCAGCTGGAAGGATAAAAGGAAATGATGTAAGGCAGTGTGATTTACACACACCTTGTAAAACTAGCCAAGAAACATCAGGCCATCCAGAGGCAACACAAGCAGCTCCTCCACCCTTTCTTCCCACCCCTCCTCCCCGTCTCTCTCTCCACTCCTACCCCCACTTGCTTCATCTCTGAGCTCCACTTGGTCACGGGCTGGGCGGGGGGAGGGAGGTTTCATCACAGGGCTATTGATCGCCACGGAGGAAACTGCTGATACACTTTCTGCAGTACACTCGGTGTCGGCAAGGCTCATTTCCTCCACTAAAGCTGCTAATTGGAAAAAATCAATCCACCTCCAGTGTCATCGCAAACTATTCATTCTCTGAAGTTTGGCCAACCACAACCACAAGTAACTTCCTGGACATGTTTATCCCGTGTTAACCCCAAGCACGTGGCCAAAATAAAAAGCAGGTGTTAGTTAAGCCAGCCCCTCCCCATTGTCTCCTTCTCTCTGACATTGTGCCCTCTGGCCTGGTAATCCACCACATACACAATTGCAATTTAGCATTCCCATTATTGCCACAGGGCCGAGATGGTTTAGAGGGGGTCAGGCCCCACTGCTCCTGGACAATGCTAATGGTTATATCCGTACAAACTGAAAGGGCCCAGGGGGACGAACACCTGGGAACAGGCACGTCCAGGTCACCCGTATTTACTGTCCTGCGTGTACGCGCTGGCACCTTGGAGTATCCGGTCAAGTACAGAATGCGACACTAAAAGGTCCTTTGAACTTTTTGTGTCCCCAGTCGCTTCTTATTTTGAGGGAGGGGCTACCAAAACAAACAGGTTTCTACCAAAGTTCGAGCAGTTTCATTTATGTAACATGAGTCTTTCTTCGTGCTGGGGGCGTGGCTCTGTTGGAAAAAGATGATGTCACATACTTCTTCGTGCCAATCAGGGTAAAAAACAAACAAACAGTTGAATCAGAATTGAATGACAGTTGTGGCGTTGTTTGCTTATGTTGACAATTAAATCGATCAAATCAGACCTTAACTTCGATTTTTTTGTTGCAATTTTTAATGAATATTTAATGAAGAGAGAAAAACACATTATTATCACCTTTAAGCCAGTAATCCGTTAGTTGTAGAACCAAGGGGTCTCCAAAATCAACCGGGAAATCCTTCTGTCATCTGTTAGCCTACTAACGGTAGAACAGAAAGAGACTGATTCATAGAGAAATGTCACACAGCAGAGAGTAGGAATGAGACGTGTCGTATATTGCACCTGGATCAGACATTAAGGGCCACTAGTACACAAAGTAAACAGGACTCTGTGTGATTTGACTCTGCTAACTAGCTGTTATTATAGCTCACTAAAAGCCAGATCGATCTGAATGTCCTCAACTGCACTGGCAGTTTATATTTGAATGTGTGTTATCTGTCAGGAATCAAACATTCAGACACAATCCCAAAACACAGCGTCCACAATGAACCCCTGCTGTAGGAACTAGTCAAATAGGTTGGGAATTCATTTAAAGTTAAAGGAATAATCTTGGCATATTGGAAGTATTGAGGACAAAAAGCCACTACAATATTGAGTACATGTATAATTGAGGTTTGTGTGTGTGTGTGTATGTGTGTGTGTGTGTGTGTGTGTGTGTGTGTGTGTGTGTGTGTGTGTGTGTGTGTGTGTGTGTGTGTGTGTGTGTGTGTGTGTGTGTGTGTGTCTTTGAGGGCATGTAAGGCTTCCACTTCCAGATCTTGAAACATCATTTTAACCAGTGTTTACTGAGATGTTTTGATGTAGTGTTTGATGAATCATAGCCTTACAGAATATGACTGCAACCCAGCAGTACACCGACTTAAAGGAGTTGCGCTACTTTAATTGCAGAGAGGAAGAGAGATTAAAGGCAGGGAAGAAGGGAGAAGAAGAGTGGCTACTTTTCCAGTTACTTTTTTTGACATTTAGGCAAATTGCGACTTGAATGAACTCTAGTAAGTAGACATCAAAAGATTGTCTGAGCTAAAGGGAGCCACGTATCCCTGTGCACATCACTACAATAACACACTAATCAATACTATTATCTCCTGTGTGTGTGTGTGTGTGTGTGTGTGTGGTGATCACTCACTCTGCTGCCACTTAAGGCCAGCTGTCACCTCTTTCATTTGCCACGTAATAAAGTGTGTGTGGGTAGGCAGAGAAGCTTCGAACGAAATTGAAAGAACAATGGCTAGGAATTGAATTTTTTCTCAAAAAGTCTACTATTTAAATTCAACAGTTTCAGTAAGTGATTGACAAGTTCAAAATAATTCAATTAATAAAAAACATCAGCTGGAATAAACCTCTGTCTCCTCTTCTTTCCATCCGTCTTTCTTTGTCCCTCCTTGGACGCAATAAACCAATAATGACTCAATCTGGCAGTCAATATGTCCGCCGCTGATGTGTTAATAACAGCGAATCGACTTTTAGAAACTGTTAACGAAGACAAAATACTTGAATCAACTGAAAGCATTTTTCTCACAACAAACTTCAGTGAAACGCCATTGAAATGGCTTTTTACCTGATTCAATCGACTATTTTCCTAGACATTTGTTAATCCATGTGGGTGTGTCATCAGATACATAAGTGTGTGAGTTCATACAGAAGCTAAAACTATTTGGAAGAACTCAAGTTTTAATTTTACTTGCCAGCGTTTGGGTGTGTAAAATAAATCATATCATTTTCATTAATTTCAGGAAAACAAAGCCAAATAAGACTTGAGTCTTGAGCGTTTTTGGCAGTTCCATTGTGTACACTATGTGTGCATAGCAATCCATTTTATATATTATAATTCAACATTTAGTTTCCATATATGAGCATATTTTTGGAAAAAGTAGTCCAGAAAATGTGGTTTTGTATAAAACAACGAACAAGCTAGGATAGATTAGCACGGTAGCTTTTTCGTGGCTAACAAGCTTTTTCTTTAAGCCCTGTTGAGCTTTAGAAAGCAGCTTGAAGTCTACCTCTAAGGACACTTTGTAGCAACATCTTTGTGAGTGATTGCTTATGGCACCTTCACCGCTGTGTTCATTTGCACCGGCGTTTCTCATTGTAGCGCTGGCCCGGCTCATGTCAGCAGCTATCTCGTCAAACAGAGTTCACCTGCTCTTTCGCTCCTCTCACAGGAAATGAATATCCAAGTAAAAGCTACAATTACTACGACTCTCCATTACCTAATCCCCGTTTCTCCGCATGTCGAACAGTAGGCGGACATTATACCTCCCTCCCTCGAACTTTTTACCCGCTCAATCACTGTAGGTCACTCTGGAGCGGCTTAGTGCCTAAAACAACCAGTGTAATATAATGAGACACTAGACACTGAGCCAAATCCTCTCTAGCTGGAAGTGATACCCAGTCAGAAACGCTGGCTGTTTAATGAGGCGTCATGGCCACTGCAGCGTCTCATCAAGACATTATGAAACCAGTGTCTCTACAGCATGTGTGTGTGCTCTCCACTGGTACCTGCTGGGCTTATTTTAGCTTTGAAAGACAGATAGGGATAGAAAACGGGGGCATCCGGGGGAGGGGTGCGCTCCTCAACTATATGATGGATTTAGTGTTTGAAAGAAAGATGAATGAACTGTTGC